GCATCTCCATTTGTGCTTTATATTGGTTAAGTTGCTCTTGGACTTGCGTTTGGATGATATGAGTTTGTTCTTGCGATTGCCTATATCCGCCTCCAAAGACATCTGTCGGGGAAGGACCCAATCCATATGTTCGAACACGACCAGGTCGCTCAGGCCCTAGAACCTGTGTGATAATTTCCTCATCTGTAGCATTGGATTGTGCCCCAAGGTCCTTCATTTGTGTCTACAATTGTTAATTAGTAATTAGCCACCAATAAAATTGTTCATAACTAGTGCCGTTAAATGTAACCTGCTTCCATTGGGCCATATGAATTCAATAACATCATCAATCCAGATTCAAAATTGTTTCATTGACACTTCCACTTCATATGCTCAAATTCAAAATTCATAAAAATACAGTCCTTGACTTGTAGATTTGGCAGCAAAAAAAGGTAAATGGAATCAAACAAGAAGCTTTCACTAAATTATAGATTTAATGTTATTATAGATTTATAATTTATAAATTAGACCTAATCATTAAATCTATAAATTATAGTATTCATAGCTAATCTATAATCTATGAATACCTAATCAATTAGCTAACGAAGTACTAAGTAAGGCTGATTCTGTAGAATCTGTGTTTGAGGCTGTCAACAAACATAGAATCAGTGTTTGAATCTGTGTTTGAATCTGTAGAATTAATTGGTTGGTGAGCTCCCATTTCAAGGTGATTCTGTAGAATCTGTGTTTGAGGCTGTCAACAAGGTGAAACTTGATTTTTGTAGTGGAGTATGGGAATCAGTACCCCAAGCTGCTTGTGATCTAATTGCTCATTCGCTTACAAGGGATGTTTCAGCAAGGTTCAATGCTGACGAAGTACTAAGTAAGCCTCAATATACTTCTCTTGCTTTCATTAGGCTGCATTTTGGTAATCAGATAACTAGGCACAGGAAGGGTTCACTTCTCTTATTGCTACCATTTTGGTTGTCTAAAATGAAGGAAATGACTAATTTTGTTGGAAGTTGCATACCAATCTGTTTTAAATCTCCATTCATCTCATTTTTTTCATTTTTTTTTCACTAGAAACATGTGCAAGGATGAATCAGATGGGTAAGTGTTCTGTCTCATTCACCCCCAGTTTCATAGCATTCTTTTACTTTTGGCTTTGTTAAAGCCAAATGAAACCGTTGTCTCATCTCTTTGTACATTAATGATCCAATTTATATTTTTTCAGATCATCCGTGGATTTTGGATCATCCGTGGATTTTGGCCCATACAGAATCCACATTGAAGACACTGGCTTCCAAGCCAAAAATGGATAACCATGTAAGATTGACTTCACGATAACTGACTGCCAGACATGCAGTGGAGTTGGAGAGAAACAAGGTAGTAACCAGCAGCTCTCTCAGTGATGACTCTATGTTAGCTTTCTCATCCAATAACTCGACTAAGAAGACAGAAGATGACAACTATGGTTTTGTTGATGCCCTCGCTATGAAGATTTCACGTATGAGGATATCTGAGCCAAATAGAAGCAGGTTATGTGTCCCTGCCAGCCCAATCCAACAGGAGTGCCCCTCTAACATAAAGGTTAACAACCTCTGTACAGCATTTTGACTCTGCTGAAGATGACTTACCTCCGGAGGGGCTTAACTTGACACTTGATAGCGAAGGGGAAGAAGCCATGGTTAGTTACTTTTCGACAACAAAGTAATCACTCGAGAGTCTTTAATTTCCTGTATAAATCGAGGGTATTATTAACTAGCACGTTATGTGCTCATGTGATGTAAGTTTATGCCTGACCTAACAAATTATGTATGCGGGCTTGTTTCTCCTTTTTCCCTAGTAATTTTATAACATTTCTTTAAAAAATAAATAAAGAAACAAATATGAGACAAGTATCTAATACATTCCATACATGCAAAGTATATAATTATGGTGCTACATACCATGACCGCAACAACTTTATCATTACTTGGTTTGTTATCCTTCGTGTACCCAGCCATCCACACCTCTAAGCGAGTTGCAGGAACTCCATTCTTCTTATTAGTTTCCTATAATTACACTTAAAATTAAGTAACAAAATCAAAATATACAATTTCAATTTGAAATATAAAGAAACTATATACCTCTACTCGAACAACTGAGAATGGTTTTCTTCCAGTTATGTGATTTAATGTCTTCTTCTTCCGAATTTCTTTGTTTTTTATACTTTTTTTCTGTTACATATGAACACAAACACAAGATAATTTATTAATTAACAAACTCATCTTATGAGATTACGATAGAGTTATATAAACAATTTAAATGATACCTGTGCCTTCCGAGTGCCCCAATAATAGACTAAGCTTCGCCATTGATGCTCATGTACTCTTTCGGGCCGATGAGTTAACCTATCAGCATCGTTGTCGAATGGCGTATACCCCAATTGTTTAACTCTAGCCTTCCACTCTCTCCATTTTTTTCCAACAGATGCCAAAACAAATTTCTTCATTGACTCGTCGGCATCTGTATTGATCTGCAAATAATTGGCAACGTTGTGACTATTGCATACACACAGCAGCAACAACATACACGCAGCAGCATACACACAGCAGCAAGCCCAAACAACAATGCAGAAGAATTCCAAGTGTGCAATGGCAATGCTGGTATTTGTCTTACAAACAAGCACTATTTTGGGTAATTGAATATAATAATTTTTATTTTTTATTTTTAATCATTTTCCTGGAAGGTAGAAAGGTCAAAGCCAGGAAGCTAGACAGCAATGCAGAAGCACAAATTTTCCTAGAAACAAGCACAATGTGCAAATTTTCCTAGTGATTTCAATTGAGGTAATAAAAAATTTCCCAGTAGGTGTTCTGATCTGTTTTCACATTTGTTGGACAAAACCATTCATATGTTATTAGAAGCTGAAATCTTATTAAAATATATCATATTTCTGACTTCCTACATTTTGTTGAAATATTTGAGATGGTATCTACATGCTGAGATTTACACTTCATCAAGTGTTTCTTCTTGGCAAATGAAAACTGATAGTGAGTTGGAATATGGGTTCAAGATATTTCAATGACTTCAGGACGCTATGAAGTGATACATTCGTGTTTGTGTTATTCGTGAATGTCATGACACTTTGAAGTGATACATGTGTTTGTGTTATTCGTGAATGTCATTGTGCTTAGATAATGGTCACTATTTCATGTCAAATTTGTGTACCCATCCCGCCTACGAGGACAAACTACATGGCGAAAACTTTTTTTACAGCATGACCTGCAAATCCAAGGTAAACAGCATGTGCATCCACAGTTGGAACAAAGGCATTCTGAGGAAAAGCAATTCCTTGTGTGTTGGCCCCAATACTTCATCTACAACAGGTTGAAGCAATCTGGGTTCAGACCAGTATCATGTGTACATGTATATACAATTTGCAACATTTGTGGTTGAGTGCTCAGTTTGTTCCGCAGGAATAAATAAATAAATAAATTGGCAAAAAGAATTTCGACAAAGAAATTTTTGCAAAAACTGTTTATCTTATGTTTTGTTGCATCCTTGAAACTAAGCAACAACATACACGCAGCAGCATACACACAGCAACAACATTTTTATTTTTTATTTTTAATCATTTTCCTGGAAGGTAGAAAGGTCAAAGCCAGGAAGCTAGACAACAAGAAGCTTTCACTACATTATAGATTTAATGTTATTATAGATTTATAATTTATAAATTAGACCTAATCATTAAATCTATAAATTATAGTATTCATAGCTAATCTATAATCTATGAATACCTAATCAATTAGCTAACGAAGTACTAAGTAAGGCAGATTCTGTAGAATCTGTGTTTGAGGCTGTCAACAAACATAGAATCAGTGTTTGAATCTGTGTTTGAATCTGTAGAATTAATTGGTTGGTGAGCTCCCATTTCAAGGTGATTCTGTAGAATCTGTGTTTGAGGCTGTCAACAAGGTGAAACTTGATTTTTGCAGTGGAGTATGGGAATCAGTACCCCAAGCTGCTTGTGATCTAATTGCTCATATACTTACAAGGGATGTTTCAGCGAGGTTCAATGCTGACGAAGTACTAAAATGAAGGGTTCACTTTAGGCTGCATTTTGGTAATCAGATAACTAGGCACAGGAAGGGTTCACTTCTTTTCTTGCTACCATTTTGGTTGTCGAAAATGAAGGAAATGACTAATTTTGTTGGAAGTTATCCTTGGAAAATGAAAGGTAGATGCAATATTTTGAAGTCATTGGTCACGTGGAAGTAGGCCATTTGTTCATAAATTTTTTGTATCCCACTACCTGATCAATTTTGATAATGGCTGACCTATTACTTCTATTATACTGGCTTTATTTTCAAGTGATCAAGTTAAATAAAAGGTGGATGAAATGTAGATTTCATTGGTATATCTGCCATTTTGGATAATATAATCATGTCATTCTAGAGTATCATTCTTTTAGTGTTCAAGATGTTGCAATCAAGTTCATGAAACATTTATCAATCCCCCAAGGCTGTTGATCTAGAGTTATATGCCTCTTTCTCATCATCCTGAGTTCCACCAAAGGGGTAATAAATGAACATATAAACTGCCTTGTAAACAATCAGGAAGATAAATTGTCCTTCATATTGTTCTTACCCATTGACTAATGATTTATGGAAAGGTGCTGCTCAGGCTATTTTGGATTTTGAGGTGAAGTGGGTGATATAGGACAGCTTTGAGAAACTTATGACAAAGCAGCATAGAGTTGGTTTTGTGGTGGGTTTTAGTTATGGAAGGTTTCTAGGTTTACTGTTTACTGTTCACTGTTCAAATAGGTAGAAAAAAATTCTAGGGTTTTTTAAATGGTTGTTGCCTTGATTTAAATTTTAAAAAAGGTGAGTATAATGGTTTAGAATGAACCTGAGTTTGTCATATCTACTTCTTCTTCTTCTTCTTTTCTTTCTTTGATATGTGAACCTGCATTTGATAAGAACAAATAACATGAATAAAATGTCATATGAAAATTTCATAATTAACTTTTACTCACTTCCTCGGACGAACGATGACAATTAAATGATGAGGTGTATGCATGGGATTGTTGTTGTGAATGCACATGTGTAGCAGCTGGTGCAACAGGCCCACCCATGGCCTGTTGAGACTCCAATTGCTCTATTCGGGCTTGTTGAGCTTGGATTGTGCTTTGCATCTCCATTTGTACTTTCTGTTGATTAAGCATAGCGTCCATCATCTCCTTCATTTGCATCTCCATTTGTGCTTTATTTTGGTTAAGTTGCTCTTGGACTTGCGTTTGGATGATACGAGTTTGTTCTTGCGATTACCTATATCCGCCTCCAAAGACATCTGTCGGGGAAGGACCCAATCTATATGTTCGAACACGACCAGGTCGCTCAGGCCCTGGAACCTGTGTGATAATTTCTTCATCTGTAGCATTGGATTGCGCCCCAAGGTCCTTCATTTGTGTCTACAATTGTTAATTAGTAATTAGCCACCAATAAAATTGTTTATAACTAGTGCCGTTAAATGTAACCTACTTCCATTGGGCCATATGAATTCAATAACATCATCAATCCAGATTCAAAATTGTTTCATTGACACTTCCACTTCATATGCTCAAATTCAGAATTCATAAAAATACAGTCCTTGACTTGTAGATTTGGCAGCAAAAAAAGGTAAATGGAATCAAACAAGAAGCTTTCACTACATTATAGATTTAATGTTATTATAGATTTATAATTTATAAATTAGACCTAATCATTAAATCTATAAATTATAGTATTCATAGCTAATCTATAATCTATTAATACCTAATCAATTAGCTAACGAAGTACTAAGTAAGGCAGATTCTGTAGAATCTGTGTTTGAGGCTGTCAACAAACATAGAATCAGTGTTTGAATCTGTGTTTCAATCTGTAGAATTAATTGGTTGGTGAGCTCCCATTTCAAGGTGATTCTGTAGAATCTGTGTTTGAGGCTGTCAACAAGGTGAAACTTGATTTTTGCAGTGGAGTATGGGAATCAGTACCCCAAGCTGCTTGTGATCTAATTGCTCATATACTTACAAGGGATGTTTCAGCGAGGTTCAATGCTGACGAAGTACTAAAATGAAGGGTTCACTTTAGGCTGCATTTTGGTAATCAGATAACTAGGCACAGGAAGGGTTAACTTCTCTTATTGCTACCATTTTGGTTGTCTAAAATGAAGGAAATGACTAATTTTGTTGGAAGTTGCATACCAATCTGTTTTAAATCTCCATTCATCTCATTTTTTTCATTTTTTTTCACTAGAAACATGTGCAAGGATGAATCAGATGTCCAATTTATATTTTTCCAGATCATCCGTGGATTTTGGCCCATACAGAATCCACATTGAAGACACTGGCTTCCAAGCCAAAAATGGATAACCATGTAAGATTGACTTCACGATAACTGACTGCCAGACATGCAGTGGAGTTGGAGAGAAACAAGGTAGTAACCAGCAGCTCTCTCAGTGATGACTCTATGTTAGCTTTCTCATCCAATAACTCGACTAAGAAGACAGAAGATGAAAACTATGGTTTTGTTGATGCCCTCGCTATGAAGATTTCACGTATGAGGATATCTGAGCCAAATAGAAGCAGGTTATGTGTCCCTGCCAGCCCAATCCAACAGGAGTGCCCCTCTAACATAAAGGTTAACAACCTCTGTATAGCATTTTGACTCTGCTGAAGATGACTTACCTCCGGATGCAGTGGAGTATGGGAATCAGTACCCCAAGCTGCTTGTGATCTAATTGCTCATATACTTACAAGGGATGTTTCAGCGAGGTTCAATGCTGACGAAGTACTAAAATGAAGGGTTCACTTTAGGCTGCATTTTGGTAATCAGATAACTAGGCACAGGAAGGGTTCACTTCTTTTCTTGCTACCATTTTGGTTGTCGAAAATGAAGGAAATGACTAATTTTGTTGGAAGTTATCCTTGGATAACCAAGCCAAAAATGGATAACCATGTAAGACTGACTTCACGATAACTGACTGCCAGACATGCAAAGTATATAATTATGGTGCTACATACCATGACCGCAACAACTTTATCATTACTTGGTTTGTTATCCTTCGTGTACCCAGCCATCCACACCTCTAAGCGAGTTGCAGGAACTCCATTCTTCTTATTAGTTTCCTATAATTACACTTAAAATTAAGTAACAAAATCAAAATATACAATTCAATTTGAAATATAAAGAAACTATATACCTCTACTCAAACAACTGAGAATGGTTTTCTTCCAGTTATGTGATTTAATGTCTTCTTCTTCCGAATTGCTTTGTTTTTTATACTTTTTTTCTGTTACATATGAACACAAACACAAGATAATTTATTAATTAACAAACTCATCTTATAAGATTACGATAGAGTTATATAAACAATTTAAATGATACCTGTGCCTTCCGAGTGCCCCAATAATAGACTAAGCTTCGCCATTGATGTTCATGTACTCTTTCGGGCCGATGAGTTAACCTATCAGCATCGTTGTCGAATGGTGTATACCCCAATTGTTTAACTCTAGCCTTCCACTCTCTCCATTTTTTTCCAACAGATGCCAAAACAAATTTCTTCATTGACTCGTCGGCATCTGTATTGATCTGCAAATGATTGGCAACGTTGTGACTATTGCATACACACAGCAGCAACAACATACACGCAGCAGTATACACACAGCAGCAAGCCCACAACAGTAGCTAATTTCACAAATCAAGATAATATTAGCCGTTCCTGTGACCCAACGATGATGATTGAAAAATTCCAAGTGTGCAATGGCAATGCTGGTATTTGTCTTACAAACAAGCACTATTTTGGGTAATTGAAAAAAATAATTTTTATTTTTTATTTTTAATCATTTTCCTGGAAGGTAGAAAGGTCAAAGCCAGGAAGCTAGACAGCAATGCAGCAGAAAGAAAAAAAATACAAAATAAGAAAAATAAAACTATAAAATAATAGTAATTTGGTAAAACAGAGATTCCTCTAAAGTTGCAGAGATAGCCCAAGAAAGCAAATGACTATTGTGTAAGTACATGTAATTACTTGTATAAATACACACACATATATACATAGATATTCAGCTACTTCATTGAATTCTCTCTGTTCGAATTATTCAAGGAAACAACAAAAGGAAGAAACAAAACAAACTGGCAACTATAAAATATGAAACAAATAAAATAAATAATAACAAATTAAGATTAAAATTGATATGTAAAATGAAATAATTCTTTTACCTTTACTTCTCTCCAAATTCTGTCTTTGTTTTCCTTCGGTACATGGCTCCAAGTTCTATAAGTGAGGGGCATAAGGTTCCCATCTCAAGCTAAAACACCCAAACAAGAAGCCAAGGGTGTATACCCGTCAACCACTTGGTTCAACTCATTAGGCACAATATGTAAAATGCCACCACTTGGGTTCCAATCACTACCATGCATGAGTGTTGGGCCTCTCGAACTATGACCTACTCATCCAAATATCAATATCAAGTTAGAAGATACTAGAAAGAATGATAATACAAGAATTGAGCAGACAATGGAGCAAATGGAGTAGTGTCACTTAGTTTAAAAAAAAGAAATATAAACATCAAAAGAAAAAAGCACATCAACAGAGAAATCTAATGGAGTAATTCAATTGAATAAAATAATTCATACCAGCAGTAGTGTCATGTGTCGAACCAGTACTCGATGATGTACTAGGCAAGCTACCTGGAGGATACCATGACATGGGTGGATCAGGTATGATGCGTGTACTCTCCTCTGAACTCTCATCTGAACTTCCACTATAAGAACTCTCATCTGCACTCCCACTGTAAGAACTCTCAGAATTTGCAGAGGCTGAATGTTGCCTCTGCCTAGAGCATCGTCGATCTGTCATGCTAGTTTACAGAAGACCACAAGCATACGTGTAGAATTTTATGGGTTAACAATGAATATAAAGTCCAAAATATTAAAAAATTTCTCTACAAATTTAAATTTTAAACACAATCTTAATATAACAGATATAATCTTTCTCAAGGACATAAAAGGTTGTCTCAAGGACAATCACGTTGAAAAGCAAACAAATGACGCATTTTAAAAGCAAAGGTTTCATTAACATGAATATCCATGCTAAAAGCACAAATGTAACAATGAATATGAAACAAAATTACAATATCATATCATTTCTTCATCATCTTCAGATTGTGTCTGTGTCGATATCCCAAGAGGTCCAATAGTTTCATCAATAGTTGTTCCAACTTCACCTTGCCTAACCCAATTTATGTCCTCTTCACAAGCAAACGAAGTTGCATCTAACTCTTGGTCGCCAAATCCTTCCACTTCATTGTGATGTTCTCCATCATTAATTGGTTGTTCTCCACACACCTCATACAAGTCTCTAGGTTTCATCCTGACTACAACATCCCAATCAGCTTCAACGGGATCATTAACATAGAAAACTTGTTGTGCCTAA